TATTTTATTTCACGCTTTTTAGTGGAATGGGGAGAATTGTATAGGATACTGTGAGACATTTCTTACATAACAATACCAAAGAATAGGATTTTGCAATAATAATAGTTATTATACATGTATGCTAATTTTCGGCCGACAAGACGTGTTTGTAGAAACAGTAGAAAATCGGTGACTGCATGTTGACTCATACACCACTAGAGGCACGGAGGCATACGTAGAATTCAATATAAAGTATTCACTCCGTAAATGTTAAAAAGATCTCTACCGTAAATGTTAAAATTGTATCCCCACTACTGGGGGGAACCCCCTCGAAATCAGTCAAGAATGAAACTCGATCGGTCGCCGAAACGACGAGGATGGAATATCGGTGAGACACATACAGTCAGTGTAAAAAGTATTGCAAGCAAAGGAAAAGATTGTAACTTTCTTATTTCTTACTATTCTTTCATGAAACTATTACCGTTGTATTTGTCTAGATTTCCTGATTAAAATGACACCAAACATGATATAATTACGTTAACAATTGTGTGTGTAACGAGTGATTAAAGTTTTTAACGTAAAAGAGGACGGCGAATGGAAAAGAAAGAAAAGCAGAAGATTGACGCGTTCGGCAAATATGAAACACTCGTGCGTCTTCTGCCTTTTAAATTCAAAAATCAAAATTCTTTATTTTTGGGGCTTCATTAATGAAGCTTTGATTATCGTATTCGTCTCGTTTTTCTGATTAAAATGGTACCAAACACGGTATAATTAAAATCATAATTACTTGTATAGCAAGCCTTTAGAAGGAATTCGCACCTCTACCGTAAATGTTACATCCCAAACTTTTATGGCTTGTTACATAAGTAATTACGATCGTAATCATATCGTGTTTGGTGTCATTTTAATCAGAAAAACGAGACAAATACGATGGTAAAAGTTTCATTGACGAAAAACCAAAAATAAAGAATTTTAATTTTTAAATTTAAAAGACTTTTATGGCTTGTTACATAAGTAATTACGATCGTAATCATATCGTGTTTGGTGTCGTTTTAATCAGAAAAACGAGACAAATACAATGGTGAAAGTTCCATTGACGAAAAACCAAAAATAAAGAATTTTAATTTTTAAATTTAAAAGACAGAACACCCACGAGTCTTTCATGTTTGCCGAACGCTTGAAACTCTAGTGAGGAATCACCCAGCGGAAGCACAAGGCAGCCTCCCAAAAAAAGGAGCACAGAAGAAGCAGAGGATAATCCGAATGGAGGGAAAGAAACAAACATCCAGACAAGAAACATGGGTGTGGAGGCCTTAGAGGAAACTGAGACACTAATAAATACAGCTCAAACCGAAAATAAAAACAGACAACAACAATAACAGCTTGCTGGGTTTGTAAAAGTTAGAGTGGACGAAGGAAAAGATTCACAATCGATGCTAAGGCAGATAAAAAATAGAACACAGATTGGCGACATTAAAATAAATGGAATAAGACAGGTAAGAGGTGGTAAAGAGCTAATATTTTATTTAAGGCATCCCGAAGACGTAGATGGACTAGATAAATGCCTGAAAGGGGCTGGCTTTGAATGTATAACAGTCAAAGGAAGAAGAAAGAAAATACTTCTATCGGGAATCGATGGAGATCGTGAGGAGGAAGAACTCAAGGAGATTCTGGATAACAGGTATCATATTAAAGACTTTAGGATTATCTTTTTTAAGAACACGAGCAGGGGCAACAAGATCGCCTGCATGGACTTGAAATATGAGTTAGCGGAATAACTATTAAACAGAGAAAGAATAAAGGTTGGATGGACAAGTTGTAATGTCAACGAGTATAAAGACAATAGAAGGTGTTATAGGTGTGGTGCAGGTTTACACCTATCTTGGAATTGTAAACTTAAAAGTGCTGTATGTTATAAATGTGGCAGTGCTGACCATTGTAGCAGAGATTGCAGCAGAAGGGAAACACCAGACATCGGGGAGGAAAGGAACACAGAACATGGGAGACACAAGCAGACGGAAGGATCGGAAGATGACAGCATTGATCCTAGTCCCATCACCAGAGAAATTGAAAGACTGAGAGCTGTCTTGGAGAGCGACATTGGCAAAAGGAGGAGCAAGGGGAATAAACAGCAGGGTAACGAGTACATGAATAATAGCACCGAAGGGGAAATCTACAAGGAGACAAGTGGAGTACGTACTAGAACACTAGGTACACAAACAGAAGAATCGTACTTTCACACTAGACCGACTTGAAACGAGGTCGTGGGTAAGAAAGGAAGATCTAACATAGTTGAAGAGGGCAAGGGCTATGGAGAAGGGGTTAGAGGTAGAAAGGGAAGCCTGAATGCCCTCCTAGTTGAGATAACAGGAAGGACCACCGAACACAGAGGAAATAAGGCAAACAAAAACAACATAAATAAGGAAAGAACGCCAAGGAAGCACAGAGGGAACGCCGTGATGATTAAATATAAGGATAGTGAAGGTATAAAGGACCTGCAAAACTTTAAGAGAGAGATCGGGTCTCCCAAGGAAGGGAAGGTAAGGTCGGTAAGAATAGCTAGG